AAGAAAGTTAATAAGTTTGTATTTAGAAGAGGAACTGTAAGTATTATCTTGTGTATTAAAGTCTCCAAGAATAATAGGGTGGATATTAAGTTAAGATGCTTGTTGAATCCAGTTGATAACAGTGTTTTGAGTTTGATTATGAGTAGAGATGTCAGTTGATAACAGGTATACTGAGATGATGCAGAGCTTGATATTACTTCAAAAGAAAATATCAAGTGCTATAGCATCTCCAGGATGGGTATGATTACTGTGAATATGAGGTTTAAGATAATTGCAAATCATGATAGCAGTGTCTTCAACAGAAATAGGAGAGTTAGACTAATAGTAAGTAAAGAAGTTATTATTACAAAAGAAGAAGTTAGTTTTGTCAGATATTTTAGTTTCTGTAATGCTTGCAATAGATATATCATAGTTAAGACAATAGTCTTGTCAAACTTCTCTTTTGGTAGGTTCATTGAAGTCTCTAATATTATGTATGGCAATATTAAGATGAAGATGGTGTAAGGTTGGGTTAAGTAAAGGTAAAGAGGAATTGTAATTAGAAGAAATTGAAGAATAATTGTCAAGAAATAGGTCAGATATAATAGGAGTTAAATTAAAGAAATTAGATCTAAAAGGCAAATTGTAAAATAAAGGAAGGAGGTATGGAACAATAATAATGTAATCTGGTAAAAGAGTGTCATTAGGAAGGTATATATAGGTTTCATTATAAGATGAATTAACAGAAAATGTAATACTAGATACAGTTTTGTTTATGTTATGTTAATCAATATGCTGAATAAGAGTTTGAATAATTTGATCATAAGGAAGAAATGATAAATTGTAGTAGTAAAGGAATTTGTTAAAGCATGTATGAAGATTATAGAGAATTAAAGATGTTGTAAATGATCTTTCAAAATTGTCTTCTACAAAGTCAATTACTGTATGCTCGGCTCTCACAGCTGTGCAAGATACTATAGTCTGCCCTGTACATTAGGTCTAACTGTTATTATCTTGGCCTTTCACATATATATTTCTTAATTTATTAAATACAGAACAAAATAGTTAGTATGGTTTTCAAATGTTGGTAAGTAGATGATAATGTTAATAAGTTATACAACAATGAATTTATTCAAAAATTTGGCTAACACTTTATTTATTATTTGTTGAAATATAACAGAAGCATTTATTAAATTAAATAGCATTATTATGAATTTGTATATTCCAAAATTTATAATAAATGTGGTCTTTTCTCTGTAAATATTCTTTATCTAAACTTGTCAGTATCCAAATAGCAAGTCCAATATTAAAAACTATGCAGCTGATCTAAAACTTTCAGAAGGTCATCAACACAGAGAAGAAAAATGCATTCTTCTTTGTAACTGAATTGAGCTTCTAATAGTTGATATAGAGATGTAGCTTGCCATCTTTTTTTAGTACAATAACCACAAGAGACATCTATTGGCTGATACTTCCTTTAACTAAACCTTTTACTTTCAACTTTTAAATTTTATTTTTTATAAAACTGTGCACATTAGAGGTTTATTTTGTAAACATACATCATATTTGTCCAAGATCATCTACAGTTTCAGTAAAAATATCTACTTCTTTACTTAATATATCACTTATGTAGTTCTTTTAATTATTCATTAGAGCTTTATTATTGAGATTTCTCTTTAATTTTTGATTACACTTTCTTCTTCTTTCTTAGTTTCCTTTACAAAAATACTTTTGACACTAGACAGAAACATAAAAAACTTTTATAGTCAAGCTACAGATTGTCATACAACTCCAACTCACTACATTAGTTAGCCAAAAACCCTTTCCTTTATCTAAATCTTCATAATTGAATTCAAAATTATTAAATAAGTCTTGATCATTCAACTTTTATAACTTTTCAGGCTTGACTTTTACTGCTAGAGGTGTTGGCAGAATTTTTCGTTTATAAAACATGAGTATTTTTACAAACTTATCTTGACATTGCATATACAATTTTCTTTTATTAGAGTACAATTGGGTGCCAGTTTGGCAGAACCAATTCATACTCAACAAAAAGATATGTTCAGTCAATTCTATAATCTGAAAAGTGATAAGAACTATTACATTACTCATAACCAACTTAAGGTCAATTATTTTTTTAAGAGCTCTTATCCTGGCTTCATTTGCAATCATGATTATTGTTATAGAAGGTTCATCAATCTTCAACTGCAGTTTTTCTGTTATTTTATTTGACATTATGCTGATAGCAGCATCTAAATTGAGCCAGCTACTATGGGGTTTCCTCTAATTCTAACATGGCAATGAGTAGTAGTAGTTCTTGTGATTGTGGTGCTTGTGTGATTATTACTTTCATATTAATTGGTTCAGGATCCTGGGTTGCTACTAGTACTAAGAGTCTTTTTATCATATTCACTAAGTAGCAATTTTGATCAAAATATTGCAGCATTTGACCTAATATAATATTGGCTTTTATATTTAACAAATCTTATGCAATATTATGCAGTTCCAGGTTATCAACTACAGAAGGTTCTCTTTTTCTATAAGATACTTGTGAGGGATCCACTAATATAGATGCTGCTAAAGCAGAAATTACTAAGACAGACATTACTAACAGTCATTGTTGGGGCAGTTGTTACTAGTGCTTTTACTTGATAGGCTATAGTAAGTATAATAGTTGGAACAGGATCATTTATTAGCTGGCATAGGCACTATTTTCCTATAGCAGCTAGGTTTTTGAGTAATGTATGACTAATGAGGAATAGCAGAAGCAATAAAGGCTTCATTTCATCACTATTTTTATTTTGTTTATTGATTACACTTATGTGATCAGCATCTCTTGAATGAAAAATGATCTGAATTGGTGTTGCAACATAATTTACATGAACTTGAGGCTGAGCTTAAGGTGTTATTCAATTTTGCATTTGGGACCAATTTTGGGTTAGGTTCTTTCTGACATACAATTGTGCAAGATACATCTAGGTTTTTTACAATTGTAACAAGTTAGACAGATGTTGTTATTGCTATAATTATTATAATTATTATATTTACTATAATTATTATTAGCTTAGAGTCTTGCTTTGAAATACATGGCTAATACAGTTGTTAACTTTTCATATCTTATGGTTAGTACTTGCATTTGTTGTATTAATCAGGTGACTTCACTATTATATGCTTTGTTCCTTCCACCTTTCTTATTGTAGTATTCTTTATCTTTGATTTTACAGACATTTTATATTGCAGCATCCAAACTATTAAGGTCTGCAATACTTAACCATGTAGCAGTTTTGGCTTTAAGGCCTCCTAAAAACATTCATACAATATATGATCTGAGAAGTTGGTTTCTGAGATCCATCTTTTGCAACAATTTTTTGAACTTGTATACATATAAATCCACTTGCTCAGATGGCTACTATTTTAATTCATTTAGGTTAATCTGTACTTGTGCTATTTTTCTAAAGTTGCAAAGTATTGGATAAACAATTGAACAAAACTTTTATCTGAACAGGTTTTCCTATTTTAATATACCAAATTATCCTTTACTTCATTGTGCCAACTTGTGACAATTCCATGTAGGTAACTAGAGGCTATCTTTATTTTGTGTTCAAGAGACTAATTATTAGTATCAGCTGTATAATCAAAGGCTTTTATCTACTCAAAAGGGTCTTCTTTTTTATCTCTATGAAAACTGTTCACATGAACTAGATTGGTTTTATAAATGGAAGGTCTGACAATAGCAGCAACTTCAATGATTACTTCTTTAAATCCAGTAACAATTTTTTGCAAAATTAATTCAAAAATGTCTAAGTCTTGTGCTTGAGCTTGTTTTCTATCATTAGTTTGATTGTTTCTATTTGCTAAAGTGCTGTTTACAAATGTATGATGACTTCTAGAAGGATGGTTGTTGTCAAAAGTTAATAAATTGTTATTTTCAAAAATGTTAATGGAAGTTCTAAGGTTGTTAGATTGCTGGTGGTTCATGATTTCAATAGGTATTTATATAAAAGAAATTTTGCTATATATTTTTTTTTCTTGATTATTCTTGTTAAAGTAAAAAGATGATTAATAATTAGATTTTTTCTCTTATTTACATTAGAGTTGATATAGGATCTATGATAAGATACTCTAATAATAAGGTAATTATGATTGCTATTGTTGTAGATCTTTTATTTGTTTATTAAATATTATTAATCAATTAAAATATTTTTTTTTGTTTGTAATAATAAAGAAATTTTGTTTGTTAGTAACTTGTATAAAAGCTTTTGTTTAGAAGAATATCAACTTCTGGATTTTATTCTTTCCTCTTTTTTTTTTTTTGTTATTATTATGCTAATAGTTTTTTTTTTATTTTTATAACTTGACTGAAATTTTTTATAATAATTTTAATGACAAGGTATCTTGCATGATTTGTTGAGTAAGGTTTTCTTTCTTTTACAATTGATTACAAACAGCTTTATAAATCTAGACATGTTTCTTTTATATTTATAGATTTTGTTCTTACTTTAATTTTCCAATAAGAAACTCAAATATAGTCAACTTGAACTGAAAGATTGGTACAGAGTTAGGTTAGTAGAATTTTAGGTTCATTTTTATTTTGTTTCTCAAATGTTAACTAATAAGGTTTTGGGCATTATAATTTCACAGTTACTACAAAAAATTGTAATAAATTATATAAGTGAATTCAGAAATAAAGCAAATGTGATGAATTGTTATTTGAAAAATTCTTATGCTGTATAATATTCCTCAAAAATATACAAGGCAGTTTTTTAATTTGGCACTGATCAAGGCAATCAAAAGAAGCATTACAAGATGTGTATTATGATTTTAAAAAAGTATTTGTTTATTTTTTAAGTCAAAAAAAGTTTTATTAATTTTATTAATATTTTGTAGATAAATACAATTATATTATTAGAGACAATTCTAAATTCTTGGATAATATATTAATACTTTTTCTGGAAAAGGAAAATTATATTCTTTTTATAATGAATTCATTGCAAAAAGAGTCTGTGTAAGACCATAACTCTTCTTATTCTTCCTGATACTTTTCAACCTTATTTGTTATAATCTTTAACTTCTTCTACATAGCCTTTTATTACTTTAGTATTTCTTATAGCTTCATAAAACTGATGAAAAATGATTTAGTTTCATGATTTCAGAATCAGAACCCATTATATTGTCTTCAATTACACCTCCTTACCATTATCTCACACCTAACTTAAGTAAGGCAAATAAAGTCAATGTTTATTTCTAGTACAACAGGTTGGTCTAGATTAACCTTACTTTAATTGAAGTAAGTGGTTGGGTCTTGCATAAAGGCTTGTGTACTTTCATATGGCTTCTTTAAAGCTGGGCATATATGTTTCAGATGGATCATTATTAATACCTCTAATTAGGTAAGTATGCCACAATGACATTCATTTTACAGGTTTTATGAGATGTTGGTTTTATCTTTAACAATACTAAAAATAAAAAATAAATTATATAAAAAAAAGATTGAACCAGTACTAAAATTGGTTTTATATTTTTACTATCACAAATAAGATTTTCTTTAGAAGAGAAAAAGTTACTGCTCTTGACAACAAACAAGTATTTTTTTTATTTAATTATGAAAGAACTTTTATGGTTTATTAATAGAGACATAGATGTTAATAAATGAATATACATATTTGGAATACTAATACAAATAGAGAACTTTCTGATAAAGAAGATTTTCTATTATTTGTTAGTTCAATACTCTTTCTATTGGTTTTATGTATATAACTTTGATTGTGAACTCACAAACAAGACAAAAAATCTAAAATTATCTCTTATTTATCTTTTAGACCTAAAAATACTTTATAGGAATTTGCATTACTGTAAACAATCAGATATATTTTGAAAAACATTTAACAGCCAATTTCCTTGAACATTATTTTTATTTTTATAAAAGTTTATTTAAAGTACTATTCTCATTTATTTAGTCATATCTATTTATTTTTTACTATCATCTAAGTGCTGTTAAGAAAAAATTTATAAGTAATAAATGATTTTGAATTTTATTATATTGAACTTAAATAAAAAACTTTCTATAAGATTAAATCAATATAATAAAAATCTAAAAACAGTAATTATAGTTTTTTATTTTGCAGTTCATATACTTTTATATTAAAACATCACAAAACAATATTATAATTTTCATAAAATATTAACTTCAAAGTTGACCTGTTCTTGACAATATTGTGTAACTACCTAATATCAATAAAATTCTATAATAGATATTATTTTTTTGAATATTCCTGTTGTCCTTGTAACTAGGAATACAAGTGATACTCTTTTTTATTAAGGTATTATTTTATTTGATTCCTGTAAGTTTACATATGCACATTACTAGTGGTGTTCTTTAGTCTTTCTATACCATGTGTTAACAAGTTTACCTATAATAACCCAGGTCCCTAACCCTATGATGTAGGACCCTTGACTTCAAGGTCCACAGTTACCTATCAATATGACCTTATAGGTTCTGTTTTCTTTTTGATATATCTTTTCATGATTTTTTCTTAATCTGAAAACCCTTATATTATTGATGTTTCTTGTCAGATTATCTTCTTATCTGGATGTTGTGTGACTCTGTGACTATGTCACACAATTTGTTTATTGCTGTAGTACTCTTGTCTGAAAGTAGAGATAGGAAATCCCCTTAAGACCATGAACATTCATGATCCTGGCATAATTTTTCTTCCAGTTGGAATTGAACTAGCGACCTTGTGAATGTAATCTGGGAGTGCTAACCACTGCACTATCGATCCCAGGTCTTCAATAGTTAATTTCAATTTGATACATAACTGATAAGTTGACACTGTTTCAAAACTGTGCTCATTTAAATCTCATGTACAACATACGCAGCTATTTGTTTAATTGAATTAATAATAATGATACAAAAGTTACAGAACAGCATCATTAACTCTAAAAATACTGAAAACAACCAAGATATCAATAATAATAGACGCAGATAATAATTCTGTTACTTTCCACTATAATAATAATAGTGTTATTAGTCGACCAAATCATCGACTGATCATTACACTTTATAACAATAAAACATGCAAAAATATACAGCATATTTCTTTGTTCAGAAGTGTGATATTAGTGGGCGACTAAGCCGGCTAACAATACTAAATAATAAGCATATAATAGTACTAATAAACAAATACTGTAATAATAACACAGTATACAAATTTTTGAAGGATAATAGAACAAATTTGACTATTTTAATTTCTTGCTATTCTTCACAGTTTCTCATCAATGTTGGCTTATGTTTTCGAAGACTTGCAGCAACTTGCGTGAAATGAGTAATTAACTCGATTTCATCGATGGCAAGAACATATTTACATTTTAAAGAATCATTATCAGAACACTTTGGAAGATATTTATTTGCGATCATGATCATTTCTTCCAACGGATTTGACGGTTTAGTGGACCAAAACACAAATTTGCTAAGATAATCACCAGAATTTCCAGTAAACTTAACTGTGTACAAATAAATTCTATAAAACACAAAATATTTATTAATACCAATGTATAATATAATTAATTATCCGGTAGTTACTATTGATCATGCTACCGGTTTTTACACTATATTACGGCAGATTGATTATTTTGATGATTGCTATGTCACAATGTTTTGATATTACAAGCGTAATTTTAAATTTTGTATATACAGGATTAGAAGCGCTTTTTAATATCGATATAAATATTTTCAAAATTGGGTGACTGAGTATTTTAATTCTGGTATTTTTAAAACGTATAGTAATTTAATAGTCAGTATAACTTATAATTTTAATTATTATTATATATTTTATTGAATTGTTATATTATTATAAAAGCAGTTTAATATAAATAATGCTAGCACTAATAAGCAAATAAAACAAAGCAATATAAATTATTGAGATGAAGTATGATAATGATAATGGTGATGAACGTGATAAGTAATATTGGAATTATTGTATGTATTTCCTTGAGGCAATTTAACAAATTCTTCTAATGAATCAGGCAGGTTTTGAGAAGAATTTTGAGCACATTCAATATTTTCAATATTGTTAATTTGCGAATCTAATTAATTAATTGTTTATTTAGTTTTAATTTTAAAAATATATAATTTAGAATATTTATTATAAAAAGATACCTTGTAATATTTTTTTTGCGCTTATAAAAGTTGGTGCTGTAATAGAATTTGGAACTTGTGTAGGTGCCGTAATAGTAGCCTTTTTAGTAAGCAATAGATTGTTTGAATCTAAATAAATTAATTAATTAGTAATACATTGAATATATTTTTATTTATTAAAAATATATAATTGATACTTTGTAAATTGTTATAATCAGCATTAGGCATGATTAGTTTAGAAAGGTCACCAAGTGTAGTTATTTGAACATTATTTTTAGGTCTTTCATATTGTTGAAAACCTGCTTGAGATTTGTGTCTTGAAATTGTCATACATTCGTAATCACTAGCACCAAATGACTTTAATAGCTGAATCGTTGTTTTGCGGCCACTTTGGTTTGTTATTTTATGACCAGTTATATCAATACCAGATGCTATAACAATATAACGTAGAAAGGTACAAAGTCTTTTTTCACCAACATGTTTAACTTTATACCAAACTGGCATCGATAAAAAATCTTAAATATAAAAGTATAAATTATTAAAAATTAATTAAAAAAAATAATTTAATAAATAAATTACCCTCAGGTTTGCTATTAATAGCTTGAAGATAAAAATGTGGATCTGCATTAACTGGACGTTTTATAAAATATTTATCATATATACTATTAATATGATCAAGATTAGGAACAGATATTCGATCAGCTTGTCCAGGGTTATCAATTCCACATTGATTTGTTTTTGACTTATAAATTAAAATATCATAGCCTCCATCTTTACGCTTTTGAAAATGATCTTTTTCAAGAAAGTAATGTTCACCTCCTCGTAATGCAAAAAATAATGCATTAAAAAAGAAAACTCGATTAAATAGACCCCAAGAGGTATCCGGAGATGTGCAATTATGATTAAGAATGTGAAGACATTCATCAACAGTAAGTGATTCAGAACCTTTTGATTCACCCTTTCCTTTAGT